TATATATATATATATATATATATATATATATATCTTCTCGCTCATCAGTTCCCTGTTACCCTTCTCTCTCTCTCTCTCTCTCTCTCTCCACCTGTTTTCCCTGCAAAATCTCTCCTTTTTTCCCCTGGGATTCCCCTCCCGATCGAGACGGGGAGGGTCCGGCGGTGGAGAGGGGTTTTGATCTCTTGCTGTTTTGATGAATGGAGTCGGATAGCGTCGATTGTGTCTCATTGACGGATGGGCTTGATGAGGAGGAGGTCACCCAGCACCGCCACCCCTTCCCCAAACCACACGGCAGCGGCGCTCCCCCTCTCCCCGGGATCGCGCCTGCCACCAGCGTCCACGAGCTACTCGAGTGCCCCGTCTGCACCAACTCCATGTATCCCCCGATCCATCAGGTCGGTATTTCGTATTTTGGAATTTTGGGTTGTCTTCAAAGTGATGGTGATCGGGCGATTACGAGATTATGCATTCTTGACACTGGGTTTTCCCATTATATTTTGGAATTTTATTATCAATAGTTGTGATTTTTCTGGTTATTTTGTTAGATGTGATAATAAGGGCAAGTATTTGGGCTATTTCGGCCAATAATTTGTGAAAAGCTTGGTAATTGAATGGTTATCGTGGTGACTTATAGTTATTAAGATCATGCAATAATTGGAAGCTTTATGATAGTTGAAAGACTCAGATGCAGGTTGATTCGGCTTAATTGCGCGTAAGTAGAGAACTTTGACTTTTGTGGGTTCCCCGTGGCAATGTTAACATCTATTTGGTCAATCTTGTTTCACTACGTTTCTAATTTTGAACGTGTGTCGCAATGAGATCTGATACTGTATTACTAATTAAAAATAGGGGGCCATATAGATCTTGTTTCAATTGGTTGCTTGGCATGTGGATTCGAAATTTAATTAAATGATCCAGAGTAGTTGTTGATGTTAGGACATATACGATGGATTATAAAATTTAATTAAATGATCCAGAGTCGTTGTTGATCTTAGGACATACATAAATGATGAAAAAACCTTCTGATGGATCTAAATGAATTTATTGATCTGAAACATGATATGCTTCTTTATTTGTCCTGTCATCGGTTCTTATGCTTGGTAGTTCTTGGCCTGTACAATTTAAAACTGATTCAGATTTAAATACCATAGCATATACACTGACAAAATTTTGGATCTGATTTTTATTTCACAGCTAGTTATTGCGATGTGGTGAATGCAGTTATATCATCTAGTTGAGGTTTATGCAATCCACGGTAGAAAAAGTACTGGAAAATGGGAATTTTTTTGTGGGTTATAGTTATGTTGTAGCAATGATGAGTCTGCTTTATGCTTTCCTTTCCGTTTCATTGTGTAACAGCTGAGCGAGGACCTGGTTAGATGCCTTTTCATATTTGACTTGGGAATTTTTGGGTTGTTTTTAGGCTCTTAAATGCTTTGCTGAAGGATTTGTGGTTATCTCGTTTCTTTAAATTGTTAGCAAAATATAGACAACTTTTGCGAAACTAGAGCTTATTTGCATAATCATGATCTCATGGAACCATGTATTTAGACATATTAAATCATGGTCGGATAGACTAATTCGGTTTATCGGCAAGGATAAACATGTTTGCTATTAACTGCTTATTTTGAATCTGCTTACGTCCTACTTGGTCTTATCCTGTATGGGGGAACTTCTACCACACAAAGGAAGTAAAGGAATGCTGGTAAAGTTATGTTTGTACCCGGTTATATTTCTCAGAAGTTGATTGGCCTCATTGTTAGAAGTCAAACATATGCATTGTTTCTTTGATCTCCCAAGAGAGTTCTAATTTTGGCTGTTTTGATGGTTTAAGAAATTCCAGGTTGTTGCAATGGTTTCAGACAATCTGTAGCAGGGCCAATGTTTTTGATATAAAATCATTAAGAGAAGAAGCCTTTTCTGTCAGTGGGACAGAAATCTAACAGATCAGGATTGCTTCAGCAGTTTCTATGATCCGATCTGTTTTGCCACTTTGACTTGAAAGAGCTTTGATTGATTTGGACTAATCCCGAAACTGAGTTTTGGATTGGGAATTATCGACCCTAATCTATTTTCTGTTGTTTCATGTTGGGATCGGTCAAGAAAAAAAGAATGGTGATTTTAACGTGACAAAATTTGAAAGCTTCAGGTGTATGGTAGTATGATTGGAAATTATTGAAGCCTTTGGATTGCATCATTCGTGTCAGACTGCGGCATTTGTTATCTCAGTTTATTACAGAGTATTTTGTGCAAGCTTTGTTATAGTTAAGGATTGCCATGGTGCTGGCATGTTCCGTGACCACAGGATATCAGAATATGTTGGTGCCATGACCAGTTATGTGCCTGCTACAAATGTGCATACTCGGTTCTAAATGATTGGCATGGGCATGCTGCAGAACATGGCTACATGTCCAGTGGATCCTACCATATTGATCACTCTTGTGCCCATTAAGTTGATGCTTCATTGTGGTTATTATATCTCTTTATTGTTACTAATGACATGTTTTAAGCATGACTGTATGATTTATCAGTGTTTTTAAAAGGCATTCGGGTGCTCGTCTAGGCGCTCGAGCGAGGCGAGGCCCAAGCGCCTCGCACAAGGTCTAGGTGATGTGCTTCTCGTAAGTGCCACCCGGGCGCTCGATCAAATCCAATGAGTCAAACCAGATTTTGGACTCTCGTTCGATTCAGCAGTGACTTAGTTGGCTCAATCAAACCAACTAAGCCCAACAGTAAAAAAATCGAAACCCACCCCCCTCCCTTGACTCGCTCGGTAAACCCTAGGATCCCTCGTTGCATTCTTTACAGCTGATGGAAAGGTCCAATCTTCCTCTTCCACCACTAAGTCCTTTGCCGCTGACATAAAGGTTCAAATCTTGCTCCTTCACTGCTGCTTTTCTCGTGCGCAGCTCCCTCTACTGCCTAATCGTTTGTGTGCAGCTCCCTCCGTCGTCAAGGGACAGTTCCACAGATTTCTCCATTGTTGATGTCACCGTCCACAACTTCCTCTCGCTGTCCGAAGGTTCCTCCCCCTACTGCACACTATTATAACAACTGTTGAAAGTGGATTAACTACTATTAAAAGCGGATTGTTAATCCTTAGAACTGATAATTACAACTATTGTTACCATATTTTATATTATATATTTTTTTATATATTTTATAATTATATATTTTATATATTTTAATATTCTAGAACGCCTAGCTTCGCTTGGGTTGGCGACTAGGCGCTCAGGCATTTTGGGACCTTGGCGCGTAGTGCTTTTAAAAACACTACGACTTACAACCATTTTGATCTGATTACGTTATGCATAGGTATGAAAACAGTTCAGGTTTGACTAAGATGAACTGTTTAATGCTTTTCCAATGCTTGTAGATCTCCTCTTGCAAATTCTGAATTATGAACAATTTAATCAGTCATTGACCAGCAAGTATGATGATCATGTATCTTCAGAAAACATCAGATAATGTGTAAGTTTCCTTTCGACTGTTTTGTAATTCCTGCGAGGCACCATTTTCAGATGAACTGCTTCTTTTCTTCTTGATTCTATTTAATAAATGCTGCCTATTATGTACCTGGATTTACATAGTGCCTGGTCAATTTGATAAAGGAAAGATTTGTACAATTGATATATTTATGTGCATTATAAATGTTTCCCTGTTATTAGTGATAAGGAATAAATTGGTATCACCTACTAAATTTCTTGCTGCTGTTAATTTTTTGTTCCTGTATTGAAATCATGTTTTCTAACTTTTGCAGTGCCGTAATGGGCATACACTCTGCTCAACTTGTAAATCAAGAGTGCATAACCGGTGCCCTACTTGTAGACAAGAGCTTGGGGACATCAGGTGTCTAGCACTTGAAAAGGTGGCCGAATCACTTGAGCTGCCTTGCAAATATAGCACACTTGGCTGCCCTGAAATCTTTCCCTACTACAGCAAGCTCAAGCATGAAGCACGATGCAACTTCAGGCCTTATAATTGCCCATATGCTGGATCCGAATGCTCAGTTGTTGGCGAGATTCCTTTCTTGGTCGCACATTTGAGAGACGATCATAAAGTAGACATGCATACCGGATGCACATTCAATCACCGTTATGTAAAGTCGAATCCACGAGAGGTTGAAAATGCAACATGGATGCTGACTGTAAGTATGCTTGAGGCCTTTAAAGTTATGACCAAAACTTTCCAAGTTCTCACGACCACTTTGCAATTGTTAGTATATTTCATTTCATTCATAGTGTGCAAGTGTACTCAAATTGATTAGATTGGGAAGGAGGCTGAATTTTCATAATGTTTTGTTGAAATGGAATCCATCAACTGCCAGATTGACCCTTTACAGATTTACAGCCTTTTCTGGGAGTCCACAAATTCAATTCTATTGTAGAGATATATAGAAAGTGGAACGGTTCCTACATAAAAAGAATACAATATTTGTAATCACACTGATTTTGATATGGTTTTGAATCAAATTCCTCACTCGGTGTTTTTTTGCCATCCAGGTCTTTTACTGTTTTGGACAGTACTTTTGCTTGCACTTTGAAGCCTTCCAGTTAGGTATCGCTCCTGTTTACATGGCGTTTCTACGGTTCATGGGTGATGAAAATGAGGCAAGGAACTTCAGTTACAGCCTTGAAGTTGGGGGCAATGGCAGGAAGCTAACATGGGAAGGTACTCCACGTAGCATCCGTGACGGCCACCGCAAAGTCCGAGACAGTCATGATGGTCTTGTAATACAGAGGAACATGGCCTTATTCTTCTCTGGTGGTGACAGGAAAGAGCTGAAGCTGCGTGTCACAGGCCGGATATGGAAGGAGCAGCCAAACCCTGACTCTGGAGTGTGCGCCCAGTCTCTATAGGTGAGATCCGAAACTTGTATGTGCCATTATGTCAATGCAATGTGTGGCTTTGTGGTTGCGATGTGGTGCGTAACCATATCGCACTTTGATGCACGTTAATGCGATAATTGTGAATAGAGGAATGGATGTTTATGTGGTTCGAAAACATGCATCCTGGAACTGTAGTGACTAATAACAGTATCTTCTGTCAGTACAGTAGGATACATGATTTTGAATATTTTCCCTTTATTTTATTTTAAAACAAGAAGCTTTTCTGTTCCTTTTCCAGATGAGTTTATTATGAGTAGTCTTCTTCTTGTCATTTTCCAAAATAAATCGAGTTTGTGTATCAGAAGTTGGGAGGGTAATTTGCATTATGAACTGATCAAAGGGTATAGTGTTTTGGTTCTTCAGAACTTTTTTGAGTTATTGGTTTTTACTATATTTCTGAATCTACTCCAATCGGATGGCTTTGTCACCCCATGCACTCTTGTTTATGACATCAAAGGCCAAGATCAGTCAGTTATTAGCTATGAAGAGGGAGAGTTTTGCTGCCACTCGGTTTCTCTGACTTATTTCAGAGGCTTTTTGTCCTCCTAATATGCTTTCTTTCTTCCTCTTGTTATGTGACATCGAATCAAGAGTCTTTTGGCAACATTGGAAGGAGTTGCACAGGGACGCGCTATTGGAACTCTCCAATACCAACTCTTGTATTATCTCTCAATTTACACAATATATTTTCTGATGGAATTACAAACATTAATGGTACATGGTTTATATGGTAGAAGAGCAATCGCTCTGATGTTTACTAATGATTATGTTTGTGGCTCTTTTGTAGCTTGGTGGTGTTACAGATGGAGCCAGCCATGAACCTATGTTAGATTTACTCATGCAACACAACTATTTAATTCTTGTGAGTTTTATGTGTGTATGATTCGAGTCCAGGTATCCAGAAATTATGCTAACATACGTTGAACATGGTTTCATCAAGTTGCACGGTGTATCTTTTCGAGGTATTTGTTCTTGCCAGCCATATATTGAGAGGAAAAAAATTATCCCACGTTCAAAAGAGAAAAAAATAATGAGAAAAAATAAAACGAAAAATGACCCTCTAACAAACATTAAAGTGTTTAGGTGACTTATAATAAATTATTAATATAATAACACATATAATTTAATTTTTTTATTTAAGTTAAAAGAAAAATCGAGATCGTGGTCATTGATTAGAGGAGGATGTTCATCACTGAGCTTAGAGCTTTCGGTCCTGCCTTCGTCGCTTCCTCTTCTTAGATAAGATAAATCTTAATTTTTTTTAAATTTAAATTATACATGTCATTATATTAATTAATAAATAGACTTTAACATTTATTAACTTAGATTTAATGGCAAGAGTTTATATACTATTTTTTGCTAAGTGGTCACCAAGACCACAAGGACTAAAATGGATTTAACTCTTTTTTAAACTTAAATTATATAGATCATTATATTAATAGTTTATTGTGAGTTAACATATTTATTATATTAATAATTTATTGTGAGTCAACATATTTATTATGTTAACTCAGATTTGATAAGAGATTTATTAACTCAGATTTGATAAGAGATTTATTAACTCAGATTTGATAGGAGGGGTTTATATGCTATATTTTTAAAAATATAAGGGTTTTTTTAGACACAAGTAAATCATAAGGACTTAAGTGATTCATGATCAAAACTACGTGAGCTAATATTTAAAATTTATCGATCGGATATATCTATATCAAATCTAAAAATTTGTTAAAATGACTTTTTTTTAATATAATTTTAATTAATCTTTATCTAGAATTAATGGAATGTTTTTTAATCCACGTAATACTTTTACTCACATTTATTCTCGACTCAATTAATTAATGGTTATCCTAATCCAAATTAACTCGATAACCTTTTTTAGCTTTTTGCTCATATTTATTCTAATCTAATTTAAGTATTTTATCTCAAACAGTTATTTGGGTATTAATAATTCATCCCAAATACAACAAAAATATCTAATTTGCTGTTCGAATCTGTACCGAATCAGATGGATGGATATCCCATTTCGACCTTAACGGATCAAATCGGATCCGCACAAAAATCCGTATCCGCTTGTTAACGGATCCGACTTAACTAACCTGCTTTCTCGTTTTCCCGAGACGGTGAGTTCTCCGTTACGCCCGAGCGAACCGCGCATTAACGGCAACCGTTTCGATTCCGTTGCCATTTCCCTCTCTTTCTCCTCCGCTTGCCTTCCTCCTCCGTCATCCCTCTAAACCGTGACGATGGAGGAGGAGCGAAGCGGATGACTCGCAGCCAAGACCGGAACGAGAGAGAGAGAGAGAGAGAGAGAGATAAGCGCGAGATCGATCCCCGAACGGAGCTCTAAATTTGGAGCAGCCTCCCCTACCCGATCATGCGCTCCATCAGCTGTATTCCTCTGCCGATTTAAGGTGGCCTCCGTCCTCCATTGGCCTTCGGTTCTTCCCTTTCTGTAAGAATCCGTCCCCCTTGCATTCGATTCTCCGTTGAGTGATTTTTTTTTTTCTGGTTTTTCTTTGAAGATCTTTTCAAATTTGGACTCTTTTGATCCCCGGGTGCTAATTCTTGGCTGAAACCCCAATTGTTCGTACAAAGGCGGTTGTTTTTGCTCGTGTTCTTGTGATCCTTGTCCGATCACATTGTTTCCTGGTTGCAATCCATGTTTAGTTCTTCTTCGATGATTAGAAAGGCGGATCCTTTAACGACCTCTGGCAATCACATTGTTTCCATGTTGCAATCGTTTTCCTCTTTTCCCTTGGAAGCTAGTAGGATTCGGACGGGATTGTGCTTTATTGTTTGTTGTTCTGGGTGGATTAAATCGAGAGGAAAACGATTTCCTTTTGGTTGTGCAGCTAAAATCAAGCTCTGACGGTTGTATGGTTTTCCTTGCAGTGAAAGGGATGTCATCCGCCGGAGTCACTCTTCGGCCAATCCGGGAAGATGTTGAACTGTCAACATGCCATTCCGATGGAGCCGGAGGTCCACTTTACTCTCCAGAGTTGATAACGATATACCTGGCAGTTCTGGGTGCCCCTGTCATCCCCATGCGGGTGTTGGAGTCCGACTCCATCGCCTCCGTAAAGCTCAAGGTCCAGAGCTGCAAGGGCTTTGCTGCCAAGAAGCAGAAGCTGGTATTCGATGGCCGGGAGATGGCTCGGAATGATTGTCTAATACGTGACTACGGTGTGGCCGATGGCAACGTCCTCCATCTTATCATCAAAACATCAGATCTCCGTGTCATCACCGTGAAGACTGCATCTGGAAAGAAACTCAAGTTCCGCGTCGACCGGGGGCGAACCGTTCGTCATGTCAACAAGCAGGTTGCGGATCTTGAAGATGAACAGTGTGTCTTCCAAGGGCGGCCTCGGAAACAGCTTCAAGACCGGAAGGAGATCCATAACATATGCACAAACAACAATGCATTCATCCACCTGCTGGTGCATAGGTCGGCAGAAGCCGGCACCGGAGCTGTGGAGAATGACTTGGAGCCATTTTTCAGGGCACCGGTGGCGGACAGTAGGCCTCCGCGTAGGGATGCGTTGATCGAGCCAGTCATCGTCAATCCCAAGGTGGAATTGCCTCGATTGATGAAGGATCTGCTCGGCGCCACTCTTTCTGGACTGGACAAGGGAAACCCACCTATAATGTCTTCGGAAGGAACAGGGGGAACCTATTTCATGCAAGACATCACGGGCAATGAGTACGTTGCCGTCTTTAAGCCGATCGACGAGGAACCACTGGCCGAGAACAACCCTCGAGGACTTCCACCGTCGACGAATGGGGAAGGGTTGAAAAGGGGGACACGGGTAGGAGAAGGTGCCCTCAGGGAAGTGGCAGCGTACATTCTTGATCATCCCGTCAGTGGCCGCCGCTCATTCTCACATGTGGACTTTGGATTCGCCGGGGTTCCTCCGACCGTCATGGCTCGATGCTTGGACGGAGGCTTTAACCATCCCACCGGATGTGAACACGAAGCGATAGACTTCAAGATGGGATCACTGCAAATGTTTGTGAAGAACTATGGAAGCTGCGAAGACATGGGGACTCGGGAGTTTCCGGCGCAGGAGGTTCATAAGATCTGCGTGTTAGACATTAGATTGGCAAATGCAGATCGGCACGCCGGAAATATCCTAGTCTGCAAGGAGGGGGAAGGAGGACGGCTAGCGTTGGTCCCCATCGACCATGGATACTGCCTGCCTGAGAATGTGAGTTTGCAGAGACCCACTTACCTTTTATTTATTTATGTATGATCTGAATTCTCTCTGGAATTTTTTTTCTCACAGTTTGTTGTTTGATGATGCAATGCATATATAAATATAATATTATATTATATTTATGCTTGCTTTTCTGATTGATGCAGTTCGAGGATTGCACATTCGAGTGGCTCTACTGGCCTCAGTCTCGCCAACCTTTCAATTCCGAAACCACAGAGTACATAAAGTCGCTGGACGCTGAGCAGGACATCGCACTGCTAAAGTTCTATGGGTGGGAGATGTCGCCCGACTGCGCTCGCACTCTTCGCATCTCCACCATGCTTCTCAAGAAAGGCGTCGAAAGAGGTCTCACTCCGTATCGTATCGGAAGCATAATGTGTAGAGAAACCATCAACAAAGAGTCCAAGATCGAAGAGATCATAAGCCAAGCCAAGAATGCTGTTCTTCCGGCCACCGACGAGGCCGCATTCTTGGAGTCGATTTCTGACATCATGGATGCCTATCTCGATCGACTCAGCGTATAGACCCACCCACCCATCGGAGGCTTATATTTATGCGCACGCAGCCACGGGCGTGTATGTATGTGTGGGAGAAGGATATCATCATCGTTGATACTTGGAAAAAGGCGGATGGGAGTTTGCGAGTATGTATGTGAGAGCAGTCAGTCAGTGTATAGATAGATGTGATGCCCCCCACCACCCACCCCCCCCCCCCCCCTGTGTTGATGTGATCATGCTTCACCATGACATAGGAGGCGAGAGGTTCTTGCGACTTTCGACTGCCGATGGTTGCGTCTCTCTGTTTAGTTCATGTCTCATGCAATGTCGTTGTTGGGAGAATGAACATATACTCAAGAATCCTAGTAGATCCATATTTTATACCCCTCTCTCTCTCTCTCTCTCTATTTATATATATATATATATATATATATATATATATATACAGCACTCATGACAACAGCCAAAGATTAATAGTAGGCTGGAAACAGCCATATCTGCTAAAACAAAGACTGAAGAAACAAAATTGTAGGTTCAGACTAAACTAGTGTTCCAAATCACTTGTGAAGGGTTTCATACTTATCTCTGTCACATACCATTCACAGCTTGGATTTGTATATAGGTTATGTTCTCTAGTTCAGAAAATTTGCAATCAAATTAGAAGGGGTTTCGGAGCTGGATGGATTCACAAGGCAAAAAAACGAAGGAGAAACCACAATCCATGCTCTTCAGGATTAAGTTGCATTTGGGAGCTTTTTTTCTAGGTGGTTCCTATCTCATCATTCCATGCACACAAAATTGGAGAATCATTCTTTTTCCTTTACTCCCTCTTTGTAGGCATCGATCATGTAGAATGAAAGGACAACGAGTGTATCAGAAGAACGAATAGATATCTTGCTATTACAAAATAGCAAGATATGCTTATTTTGAATATAAAAGGAGGATCAAAGGATATGCTATTACGAATAGTTATACCCTCAACCCTATGGGAAAATACACTCAGAAATACATTACCAGGCTACCCAACTATGTAAATTATAAATCCATTCACAAAAAAAACAAAAAACCAAAAAAAAAACAGAATTCACAACATTTGCACTTTGAAGAGAGAGAATTATCTAAGAAAAGCCATTATCAAAATATACATGAGCTTGAAACCCTCTTTGTGGAAGCGCACAAGCATAAAGCATAACAATTCACTTCACTAGAATTCAATTCCCCTGCCATGACCCAAAAAATATTATGCAACTTTTATTTACAGACACCACCTTCAAAAAATTGTTCATCCTTGGTTGAGAAGAGCAAAGTCAAACATTAACTACCAAAATGGAAATTCCTGACTGAATCCGTCTTAGTGGCAGATAAAAGACAAACAAATACATTGCTTTGAATCATTTGGGAGACACTGCAAGCTTTTACATCAGCAATCATAAAAAGTCAAGAACAGTTTCAAGCAACAGAGTTGTAATCTCAGTAGGTAATAACAACAAAGGCGATGCGAAAGACTTCATGATTACTAGATTCTGCATCCAGGTATACAGCACATATATCATCATCTGTCACCAGTCATTGGACAAATCATTGTTACACATGTTCTAAACTTTCACCAGCCTCAGATCAACTATCCAGTGGAATTTAGAAAAAAGGGAGCAGTATCTAAGAGGCTGAAAGAAAATTCCTATGGGAAGAAAAAGCAAAGATCCTTTTGACTATAATGCTTTTGTCATAACAGAAGCATATTTATTCATGAAGCATTATATAACAGACAAATCAGCTGCACCTATGCCATATTTACAAGTTCACAATTAGTAATCTCTCTGAATTCATTGAAGGACTGGTGTTATAATTTGCAGAGCTTCTTCAGTTAGGAGGGTCAGGTGATCTGTATCCCCAGGGGTTCTTGGTAGCCCAGTTCCATTGATCACGGCACATCTCTTCGATGCCATACTTTGCTCTGCAGTAGCCATCATTTCAACATCCATACAAGAAATTAAACACTGTCAACCAGAACCCTAATGATAACATATTGAGCTGAGGAATGGATTCTTCAGTCATACTAAGAAACAATGACTAACAACATTAACAAAAAATATGAGAGAATTGGCCTACAAGAATGTCAAGTATTACTGCATGAACTGAAGCATAAAGTACATACTTCCAACTGAGTTCCTTCTCTGCTTTGACGGTGCATGCATAAAGAATTTCAGCATCACCAGGACGCCTTCCAGCCATGACCAGAGGAATTTTCTGAAAATAATCTAATAAGTCGAGACTTATAGAAGAAAGACAGAGCATGCATACTAACACCATGTGGCTTGACTGATCTCCAATCCAGAATCCTTCAGCCAGCAATAGGTAACAACACAACACATTTTACTCAAAAGCAGAAGATTTGGTAGAGAATTGATTTGAGTCATCTAATGAAATTCATGATATGCATCTCAATATCAAGTTATCCTACCCTAATTACACACGATTGCTCAAATAGCCAGTCGTTTTTCTTCATCTTAATAAATCATGTTGCCTGAAACTGTAATACCTTGCCAGAAGCCTTCTCAAATGCTGCCACCATTTCTAATACGGATGTTCCCTTTCCAGTTCCTAGATTATAAACTTCACAGCCTGCAGCTTACAGTACTTTGTCAGATTAAACATATCGAAAGCCTTGCAAGCAATTAAGAATCAATACATGAATGCTTTAAAAAACCAACATGGTGAAATATCCAGATAAACACTGATGGTTAGGCATCAAATGTGGTGTTTGAAGATTAAATTGTTAATCCATGTCTTTAACTATATGAGTCACCTCGCTTGAAGGTGCTTACTGTCCTGTATTTGGTCTGTAATACTAAAAGCTCTTCCATTTTAACAAAGCATGTTAAAGCACAATAAAAGTTCTATATCATAAATCATGCTCATTAAAAACAGAAATGCTAATGTAAGCCCAAATAAGAAAGGACTAATGTGAATGTCTCACTCTAGAAAATATTAATGTTGTCGAACATATACGAAACTGTTCCAGCCTATTTCAGCACAAGTAGATAAGAGTAGCATTAGGGCAAATGTTAATGGCGTGCTAAGATTTCTAGGAATATTAAAATCTTCCATTGAACCAAGTTGAAGCATAGTTATCATACCTGACTCTGAAAGGATGATACAAGATTCAGATGACAATGATAATAATAATTATGCTGCATAATTCTGCACGAGCTGAGTTTCAAAAAATATAAGCCACATGATGTTGAGAATGCTAAATGCTTTTATCATCCATAACCCAGATGACACACAGGTGACCCATAGCAAACCCCACAGAGATAGTATAGACTTTGGATAGCAACGGAAATCATGATCCATGAGACATTCTCCATTTAGATACATTCGGTACTTGACAACACAATAGCTATATGTTCACAAGCTTGGAATAACAATGTTTGCAATTTCATACTGGACCTGTATCGGTCCCTGGTCAGACCGATATGTATGATCAGTGCACACGACAAGCAAGAAGAGGAGGCAAAAGGAGAAGAGGAAGAAAAAATAAGAGAAGAAAAGGAAGAAGAGGAAGTGTACCTGAAATTAGCGGCACACGATGGGCAGCGGGCAACATCAGGCCAGTAAAGAGGGCTCACATAAACCAACAGTTTATGAGTTATATAGTTTTTTTTTTTACTTTTTTTAATATGTCGGACCAGACCATCCAAAATGGAGGTAGTCCGCGTCTTGGTTTGGGCTTGACACTAACTAAACTGCGACACCGCTAAATACCAATCAGGAGGAGCCAAACCGGGTGAAACAACAACCCTAAACCAAACTGAGAAAAATTTGTGAAAAATGGGTACGTGGGTCAAGGATTTAAATCTAGGTCCAGTGTTGGCTTTGGAAATTAATCAGATCGGTATAATACTGATATATTATGGTATAGCAACCAGTAACATCCTATATCACTTAAAAAAAAATAAAAAATGACCATGTCATACTTTCCATAAAAAAAAAAAACCAAAAACAACAAAAGTGATCATTAACAAACTTAGTTTTTATTTACACAACTTCAACTTTAAAGACTCACCAAACAACAATTCAAGCTACCAAAACCTAGCTTTCCATGCATATAAGTATAAACAGGACCTATAACACTGGTTGCTTGGGTAATAGTCAAATATTTAGTGCAGGTGAAAGTTGGTGTTAGGTCGTAAGCATTACTTCCTAAAATGTTGCTGAACATTATATATCCTGAAGAATAAACAATAGTCTGAACTATATATCTTAAGTTTATAAGTTGCAAACACCAAATGTGTAAATAATAGTAAATAGCCTAAACTTCACCATAAGCAAATGTGTAAATAATGGCTGTAATCAAGAAATTTACAAAAAGTATTTGGGCCAGCAATTACATAAAGTACTACAAATTTTAATTGCATCCAATACGTACCTATGTTGGGGTCCTCAAAGAACTTCTGCAGGGCTGCAATATGTCCATCTGCTAGATCAACAACATGGATGTAATCCCTTACCTGCAGCCATTTTGTGATGACCATAAGAAGAAAAACTGTAATAACTAGCACTAAAACAATAAAATTTTTGGCCCTTGAACCAAGCAGTTTCTGCATTAGATAATACTAATGTTGTATATTTAGAATACTTGACAGCAACATATGAATAAGTAAATCTATCAAAATCTGCACTATAAGTAAATCTACAGTTTCTCAAACGCACATTTTCATCCAAAATAGTCATAGAACTAATATATAAAATTTAATGCTATATACATTAACAACAGAATCAATATCATAAATTAAGCTCCATTACTTGCTTCAATTAAGATGATTGTTCTGTCAAGCTGGTTCCAGTAGGATAAAACCAAGTATCACAATATTTGAGTACATGTCCTTAAACAACTTAAACATTAAAGAGACCAAAAATAAATAAAAATGATATATAATTCATGAAAAACATACCCCTGTGCCATCCTTGGTTGAATAGTCATTTCCAAATACTGCAAGTGTAGGTCTCCTACCAACAGCAACTTGCTGGACAAGTGGCATGAGGTTATTGGGAATTCCACAAGGATCTTCACCAATTTGTCCACTGGGATGAGCTCCAACAGGATTGAAATATCTTAGTAGCATGATCTTCCAATCACCATCTGCATGATGGATATCATGACATATTTCTTCAATCATAAGCTGCAAATATTGATATAAAAATC